GACCTGGACGTCCTGTGTGCTCGAAAGAGGTACCTCAATGGCCACCTCAAATTGCCTTGGGAGCAACACTTTGCTGGCGAGGTGCTAGGACAGCAGGGTCCAAAGAAATCATCGTTGTTGGATGTTCCTTCATGGGTTGGTTTTGGTGACTACATGCAGCGTTCTGGCAGTGATTCCCAACCTGACTATGTTCAGCAAACATCTGCTCATCCTGGTGCTATGCGACGTATTGCCATTGCTGCTACTTTGAAAACAGATGATGAAATGCTTTGGTCAAGTTTCTGCTCCTCATGGATCTTACTGCAACCAGCCTGGGAGATGTGCTGGCTGGGTTAGTCATGCAGGTAGGTGGGGAAGAGACTGTGACCCAAGTCCTCAGGGATACATTCTCGAAGAGAGCTGCCAGTACGGTTTACAAACGAGTGTCCTGTTTTTGGCGCTACAGCAAGTGGGATCAACAATCTGGAAGATGCAACCCATGGCATTTCACAGAGCAGAAGGTATATGAATACCTGGATTTCTTGAGATCCTCTGGTGCCGCTGCGACTTCGGGACAGTGCTTTCTGGCTGCTCTGGCCTTTATGCATGAACATGTCAGGATCAAGCAATTTGACAAGGATTTTCTTTCGCCAAGGGTCAGAGGCGTTGAGCATGAGTTGCTGCTGAAAAAAGAGGCCACTACTGCAAGCAAGGGCACTCTACTTGAGCGAGGTTGAAGCCCTGGAGAACTTTGTTATCGATCCTACAGAACCACACCTTGGGATAATTGCTGGCTACCTGATGTGGTGCTTGGCCACCAGCAGTCGATTTTCTGACAGCATGGGAGCGTGCGGCTTTGAGATAGACGAGGCCCAGCACGCCACTGTTGTAGCAGCTGGCACTTACCGACACAAGACATCGGTGACGGCGATGCAGAAGACTACATTGCTGCCACTCCTGGGCCTGGGCAAGTGGTTTGGAGAGGTGCCATGGGCCGCTTGCTGGTTGGAAATGATGGAAGAGGCATTTGGACAGGTCGAAGGACGAGCCTTCCTCTTACCAGCATTTTCAGAGAAGAGTTCGCAGTGGTTGCCCCGGAAAATGTCTTCTGCTGAAGGGACGTTGTGGCTGAGGGACATTCTCAAGCTGGCTGGCCAGGGCCGCTGTGTTGAGTCCTTGACCACACACTGTCTCAAGGTCACACGTCTAGCATGGTTTACCATCAGTGGCAAATTCAGCTTGGAAGAGCGCCGAATTGCAGGGCATCACTTGGACAAAGAACACCGGTCTGCGTTGACTTATGGCCGAGACAATCACTTGGCAGTTTTGAAAAAGGAAGCGATCTTGCTCCAGAAGGTGAAGATGAGTCGCTTTGATCCTGACGAAAGCCGTGCCAGGCACATCGATCGTGAGATTGATGCATTGCTCCAAGAACATGTAGATGCCCAGGAAGGGGAGGACTCAGACTTTGAACATTTTGACGAAGTACAAGACGGAGTTGACATAGCTGAAGATGCAGACAATTTGGACCATGCCGCAGTTGACAATCCGTTGGATCCCACCTTGACCTACTGGCAGCATCACTTGTCAGGAACTTTGCACATCGAACAAATCCCAATGAAGTTTGAATGTGGCCGTGCCACGACCTCCAACTACTCAGCTGTGTCTGGGAACGACCTGTTGAAATGGCAACTCTGCAGCCAGTGCAGAGTAGCCAAATACGGCCTGTGACAGCCTGTCCCCACCCTGGAAAAGCTGAGCTTTTAGGGCGGTGTCGGTCGTAGTGTTGGTTGAAGAGTTTTGCAACATACATCATGTCAGTTGATGCCACATCGGGAGATTGCATTCAGATTCAACATGCAGTGCATGCCGTGCAGTCGACTGCATGAACTTAAAACTTGTAGCCAGGGTTGATGTTGGTAGTAATTTTCCTTTTGGCTTGGGATTTTTACTGGCGACTTTTTGTCTTTGTTTTTGGGACCCTTTTTGGGCGCAAAAAGTCGCCCTTCTTAACCCGTTGGAGTCATTCATAACGTTTTTGTGAGCAGCGAGATTGTTTGGTGACTTAATTTGGCATTTGGCACTGTTATTTCATGAGAACCTTTTTCAGCTGTCCAAAAGCGCTTTACGTTTTCCGTTCCACTGCCTGGCCCTGCACCTCCTTTCGGTGTCCTGATGGCGATTGGTGAGATGCTGATGTACTGGTTGTGCCACGCCTGGTGGTCGTACATCCGGCTGGAACTGCCTGGGGGCACGCGATGCCGTGAGGTGGAGATGTTGCGTGAACATCTGCGCAGCGTCTTGCTCTGCTTGGGCATGGGCTTCAGCACAGAGTGGCTGGCAACGGTGTGGGTGTCTCTGACGGTGGTCCTGACATCCCACAGGCAAGGTAAAGACCTGCCATCGCTGCAGAACATACTGAAGGTCACGGACATCACGCCTGAGTCGATTGCAGTGCCGCCTGGTGCAAGAGCGCTTTGGACTCTGGCAGGAGCACCAAGCAGCGACCATATGCGGCGCATCAATGGATTGTGCCGCACAGTGGTGGTCAACGTGTCCTATGGCATCCCTGAGCATGGAGATGCGGCGCAAGCCGACGAGGTGCTGGGAGAGCTGGACACCTTCCTTGCCAATGTGGCGTTAGGCCTGAACCGTTAGGCCTGGTAGATCGTGGATCTGGGATTTTTAAGGGCGAACACTGCCCTGGTGTGAAAAAGACTGCGGTCAGAGCGCGCTCTGGGTGACCCAGCTGTGACTGGGGACATTGTTGAAGGTTTTCGGAACCTGCATCGTATTTTGGCAGTCAAACTTCTGAGCTGGGCTCATATCACATGGGCATGTTGTAGCTTGGCAGATTCTGGGCTGAAATCAGTTATTTCAGGGTTGTTTCAGAGTTTTTGGAAGGGACATGTTCAGATTTTATTCACTGAAGTGTTGAGCGGTGCTCTCATGCATTGACATGCCACCAGTGCTGCAATTTCTGAGCCGTGCTCATGAGGTGCAGTTTCATATTTATGTGGCATGAATGCGGCTCCAGCAGAGATAAACCATTTTGACGGTTGGCAATGATAGCAGCGTCATTCCTTTTTCGAACAGTTTAGACCAACTACACAACATGACACAACATACCAAGTATCCAAGCGCTGACATTGACAAGTAAGAAATGCCATGTTAAATTTTTGTTAGGACTTTGTCCTGTCGACCCTCGGACCATGGCCACTGAAAGCAGTGCAGCATTCAGGTCGAGAGCACTGGACCTTGGCTTAGCTGAAGATAGGTTTGAGTTGCTAGTTGGGGCTGGAGTTCGCAACTTCGGGCAATACGCCTTTATATGTCAGTATCAACCTGGCAGTTCAGACGAGGGCCCACTGTTGAAAGTTTTGTCAGAGATCTACACCACAGATGTCAATGGAGGTGAGTTGACAGTTGGAGAAAGATCGATCCTCAGGAGACTCTACTTTGAGAGCCACACTACTGCAGTTCAGGAGATGCGCATCCGACTAGAACGTCAGCCTGACGACACACCGAAAGCCATTCCGATGGCCGAGCGCATCGAGCGACTCAACGCCTTCAAGGAGAGCCATTGCCATTTAGTTTTGGATTATTCGTCAGAACCATCTCACAAATTGGTCGATTTGGTTTGTCAGCAGGCAGAATCGCAGGTAGTATCGTACATAGAGCTCAGCTTGTGCACCAGCCGTGAAACAGAGATCACCCACCGAAAGAAAGAAACTCAGGTCTCCATAGACAACTCTGGATTGATCAAGCTCACGAAGCAGGACCGTGCAGTAAAGACTGAGGTGACAGGTGATTTGAAAGTGCGCCAATGCATGCAGAGGCGAGCAGTGGCCTACCACCTGGCCAATATAGCCACCTATAAGACATTGGAAAAATTTACGGCCAAGCTGTTCCACTATCTGACCAAGGAGCCTGTGGCCAGCCATCGTCCAATCAGTTTGCAGCAAATCATCCAAGCTGATCGTGAGCTTTGGATACAGGTGTCTCAGACGACCCGTGGAAAGATCCTGACATCAAATCCCAAACCCATTGACGAAGCTGTTGCCAAACTCTCCGAGTCTACAGAGGTCCTGTATCATCTGATGCCATTGCCGCAGGGCAGTCAGCCTAGGTCTGCCGACAAGCTGAAGGCCGACAGATCCCGCAGTCCCAGGCGCCCTAAGGGCAAGGGCAACAAGAACAAAGGAAAGGGAGGTGGCAAAGGCACTAAACCGGATTTGCCGGCCAATTGTGTCTCCAAAGATGATCAGGGCAGAAACATATGTTTTGCATATCAATGGGGCAAGTGCCAACATCCTGGGCCTCGATGCAGTCGTGGCATGCACCTGTGTTGGACGTCAAAGTGCCATGGATCGCATCCGTATACATCTTGCCCCAGTAAGAAGCAGTGACTAGGCATTGTGCCTGAACAGCCCGAAGCCATTTTGGTAGGCCCAATTTTGCAGTTTTTGCAGGGAAGTTCATCTTGTACAGCGATTGACTTTTCCATGCCAGCATCCGAGCTCATTTTTCTCGAAGTTTTTGCCGGGAGGGCCACCTTGACGGCCGAAGTGCGTAAGTCCCTTAACCTGCAGTGTATAGCCATAGATCATAAGGTCAAACAGCCGAGAGCTAAGATCACGGTCCTAGACCTCACTCGTGCATCCGACCAGGAAATTTTCTTTAATTTGTGCATGCATGCCAATGTTGCCGCAGCGCACTTTGCGCCAGTCTGTGGAACTGCCAGCAAAGCTCGTGAGCGACCTATGCCACCGGGCTACAAGGGAAAGCCGCTCGCCCCGTTGAGGTCTTATGATCAACTTCTGGGGCTGGATTCCTTAGCAGGCCAAGATCGAGACAGGGTCCATGCGGCCAACATCCTTTATGCAGTCACTGTTGTAGCAGCAATCCTCTTGATTTCTCGAAACACCATTGTGTCCATTGAAAACCCCAAGAATAGCTACTTTTGGGCGATCGCCTGCCTCATTGCAGCCCTTTTGGAAAATGGCAAAATTGTGGACTAATCTTGAAGATGTCAACTTTGCAAACTGCATGTTTGGATCGAAACGCAAAAAGCACACAACATGGAAGTCTACCCCTGCAGTCTTCCATGCCATGAACAAAGAATGTGACAGTTCGCACGTGCATGAATCTTGGACCCCGCACATCGGGCCAAATGGCCAAGTCTTAAAGATGCCAACTGCAGAGGAAGCAGCCTATACGCCTGAGCTTGCAAAAGCTGTTGCAACTTGCCTGGGGCCAGCATTGTTAGATCGTGGTGTCATGTTCCCAACAGACCTCAGTGCAGCCGCCAACCCACGCAAAGTTGTCAGGGCCGAACAATTCAGGCTGCCCCAGTTAATCTCTGAGTTCTTTGCCATCACCGACTTTCCGGTGCCAACGTGCGACTCCAAACAGATTCCACTGCCAATTGTCTTGGAACAAGGGGGTGATTTGAAACCTGACCAGGTACACTGGGAACTAGAAAGCTTGCAGCAACAACCCCATACAATGAGAGCTTTCAAAAATAAGCCTGAGCCAGGCGAAATGGTCTTTGGTCTTTTTAGGTCCCCCAAAAACTTTGTAGTGTGCGCCGAAAGCCTGATGCACCGGATTGATTTCTCGTGCCCATTGCCTGATGAGCTTGTACTGACGCTATCTCAAGTCCTCCAGCTGGGCCCAGCTGAACTGATTGCGCATAGAGCTGAAAGAGCTAAGGAGTTGCTGCGCTTGGTCAAATCAATGGAAGCTGACAACTCAGCTTACTTGAATGCTTTGCCAGCTACCCCAAAGAAGATCCTTCGGAATAAAAGGATGGCCCTCTGGAAACACTTATCCCTTAAGTTTGACTGCCCAGATGCGGGGATAGTAGATGAAATAGCCCAGGGTTGTCCCTTAACTGGCATAGGTGCACACTCAAGCTTGTTCCCTGCTGGTTTCCAGCCGGCCCAGAAGCCAGCCGACCAACTGAAGAAGCAGCACTTGTGGTTGAGGCATCAGGTGGTAGGCCGTTGCCGCTCATCAGGAGACTCTGCCGTAGACCAAGAGTGCTGGGAGCAAACGCTGTCTGAAGTCACAGATGGCTGGATGGAAGGCCCCTTTGATGACGAAGAGGCAGTAACCACACACATCGGATCCTCAGATTGGTTGTGCAGCAGGAGGTTCCCGCTGGTCCAAGGTGAAAAGGTCCGACTGATAGATGATGCCAAAGAGAGCCAGCTCAACACGGCGTACTATGCCACCAACAAGTTGGTCCTTCAAGATGTTGATTGTTTGGTGTCATTGATCATGCAGATGTGCAGATGCTTTGTTCGACGTGGCGAGTTTGCCATGAGGCTGAGTGATGGCTCCACAGTTTCTGGCCGAGTGGCCTCTGATTGGGGATCAGAAGTGGGCTTCCTTGGTAGGACCCTAGACTTGTCATCAGCCTATAAGCAACTGCCCACTAGTGATCTTGAGCCCTGGTCTCGCATCATTGTAGTTCACTGCCCTATCGAAAATAAGCCCAAATTCTTTGTCAGCCTGGTGCTCCCCTTTGGTTGTACAGCCTCCGTGTACTTCTTCAACCGGGCGTCCAAAAATTTGTGGTGGTTATTCCAGAAAATGTTCATGGTAATAGGTACCACCTACTATGATGATTACCCGACAGTTGAGCCAGAGCAGACTGCAGCTTCAGCACGCACTTGCCAGGAGCTTCTCTTGACTAGCCTGGGATGGAAGTTTGCCAAAGAGGGGAAAAAGGCATTGGAGTTTGCGTCCTCCTTTGACGTGCTTGGCATAAGCCTGGGTTTGTCCTGCTGCAGCCGTGGCAGCTTTGCACTAAATAATAAGGCTAGTCGGATTGAAAAGATCCTCACCCAAGTGGATGCCTTTGTGACTAAGGGTTGCCTTACCCAAGCTGAAGCAGCCCAGGTTCATGGGATTCTCAACTTTGCCCAAGGCCAGTACTTGGGTAGGGTGTTACAGCCTGCGATGCAGTTCTTTCAAAAGGTGTCACTTCAAGGGTGGGCCCCCAGCATGCGTTCTGAGTTGGCCCAAGTATCGGCATTTCTTGCGACTGCCTTGTTGCGTGCACCACCCAGAGTGCTGACGGTACGTGACACTGTTAGACCGGTCCTTCTCTTCACTGATGGAGCTTGTGAACCCACTGAGGCTGGATTTGACGTGGGTGCGGGCTTTGTCATCCGTGACCCGGTGACTGGCCTGTTTAAAGTTCATGAGACACCCATCCCACAGGCTGTCTTGGACACTTGGGCCGCGACGGGTAAGAGTCAAATCGTCGCAGCGTGTGAGTTGTATCCAATACTTGTTGCATGGTGTCATTATGGCCATGTCTTCCATAACCGCCGTGTCCTAGTTTTCATTGATAACTCATCGGTGAAAGCCGCCGCCGCCAAGAGGGCATCCAAGCAAGTAGAACTCTTTGCATTGCTGTCTTTGATTTGCCTGGAACAGACCAGACATCCGACTCTGGTATGGTACACCAGAGTGCCTTCCAAGAGCAACTGTGCCGATGGACCCAGCAGGCAGAAGGCCCAAGCCACAGCCGTGGAGATTGGGGCGCAGCTTGGTGATCCACTTACCTTGACAGGCCCTATCCTTCAATTCCTTCAGGGCACATTGACGTACCCCGTGTTGATGAGGAAATTGGCTGAGGTTTGGAACAAGGGGGAAGGAGCTGTGCCTCCAACACACCGATGTTAACTCATAGACCTGAGCGTCTGGTTGGATTGAGTGTGTTCTTGCAAGCACCTGTGCATGGTGCCTCATGTCCCCATTGGCCACACGGCCCAACAACCTGACAGTCAATTATTCAACGCGGGAAAAAGAAATATGATTAAGACCGAGTGATGTGCGTACGGTTGCGTGATTTCTTGGAAAGTTTTTATTAAGTTTGAAGATATTATTATATTTGAAATATACTATATCTGGAAGGTCACCAGGCTTACAGGCTTATATCCGACACGATCCTTTTGGCAGTGCCATGTATTGTGATTTCCCCCACAAAAGTTTCATGAGACGATAGACTCAACTCGTTTGATATATCAGTCTCACATGAAATCTTTTTGGGCTGTGTTCTGTGGGGAGTGCGCTCCCTAGTGCGTTTGCCTGTTATGCGTTACGCGCGCCTGCACCCTGGACGACCAATATCATAATCACAGCGACCTGTCCTATACTGCTACATGTCTCCGCGTCTCACGCGATATGCGTTGGGTCACTGGATCTTATCTCTTACGAGGTCATTCTCTGACCTGAACTTGTTCCTGAAGTTTGCTTTGGGATACTGGATTTTATGTCCTGCATGTTTTGCCCACTACCGGGTTTTGTGTTAGCAGCTGTGTGCATGCGATCTTATTGCAGTAACATTTGAATTGTCACTGCATGTATTTATGCACAAAACAACATGACCTGTCTAACCTATTGTGTAGGTGCACAACGTTGAAACAAAACCCTACTTTTCACAAGCGGTTTTTCCAAACCTGTGTCTCTGTGAAACCTGTGAACTTGTGAACACTTGATAATACATGTTGCGCGCAGAATTTGCCAAGCCTGGCACCCAAAGTTTTTGAAACACCCGCCCTCCCAACCCTGGGGGGAAGGAGCTGTGTACAGGCTTATATCCGACACGATCCTTTTGGCAGTGCCATGTATTGTGATTTCCCCCACAAAAGTTTCATGAGACAAGGCAATGATAGTGATGGAACACGTAGCAGCTGAACATCAGAAAGACGGAAGAGGCAAGGTGTCAAGATGTTTAGACGAAAGCTGAAGAGGCGCATTGAAGCACTTGTCCTGATAAAGAGCGAAAGCGACAAGAATAAAATTTCAAGGGAGAGCTTGTATGAAGAAGGCAGGGTGGTAGAAAGAGAGCAAGGAAAGGAAAGAGAAGATGGAACATATGTAAGATGCGAAGATGCAACACGGACACTTTTGCACACGGACACTGTCATGCACAGACGCTCTTACACAGGAACGCTTTTACACACAGAGGCCTTTATCCACAACAATTTTTGCACGCAGACGCCTGTACACACACACACATAGAGACGCCTTTACACGCAGAAGTTTTTTCACACACACACACACTCTTACACAAAGACGCTTTTACACACAAACCCTTTTACACACACATGCATGTTTTTGCGCACATACGTTTTCACACAGACGCTTTTACACACAGATAATCTTACGCAAAAAACCTTTACACACGGACCGCCTTTACACACAGACCCTTTTAAACACAGACGCCTTTACACAGAGAAACTTTTTAACACGCACGCTTTTACACACAAACACCTTACACACAAACGCCTTTACACAGAGAGGCTTTTGAACATGCACGTTTTTACACAGACGCTTTTACACACAGACGCTTTCACACACAGAGGCTTTTGCACATAGACGCTTTTACGCACAGACGCTTTTACACAAAGACGCTTTTACACACAGACGCTTTCACACACAGAGGCTTTTGCACATAGACGCTTTTACGCACAGACGCTTTTACACACAGACACTTTTACACACAAAGACGATTACACAAACACAGAAACTTTTTTTAACGCGCAGAAGTGTTTACACACAGACACTTTTACGCACAGAAGTGTTCACACACAGACACTTTTGCATACAGACGCCTTTACTCACAGATGCCTGTACACACAAACACTTTTACAAACACACACACACACGCACGCACGCACGCACGCCCGCCCGCGCGCGCGCGCGCGACGCGCACCCACACACACACACACACACACCCACACCCACACCCACACCCACACCCACACCCACACACTTGCTCAGAAACAACATTGCGAATTTTGTTGTGGAATGCATCTCACGTGCACAAAACAATCCCTTACCAACTGCCAGGAAAAATTGGTTGATCCAGCGTGAATTTCAGTGCGAAGTAAACTTTCTACGTCCTTGCTCTGAGGAAGGTTCTGATGCAGCTGAACCATTCATACTTGATCGAAAGTAATTTATAAATGGGCTGACGCCCTGGTGCCGCCGACCCCCT